GTGATTATTATGACAACTAATTTTATTTAATTAGTATTAATATAAAGTACAGATTATAGTATTTTTATTGATAATTATCAAATACAATATAAAGCCCATCTCGAATGCGTCTATGTGATATACATCTAATTAGCAACTGTACAATCTTGCTCCCCCCGCATAGAATTTGAATATTAACAGGCTTTCTCGTCTTATAACTTTTTTTTTTTCCACAATCCGGCATGATGTGGACCGCCCTGGAACTACCGCGAGGTATTGCTTCAGGGCGGCCCACGCCGTCTAAAATTCACACCACCACGTTGTGAATATATATATATATATTTCCTTTAAAATTAAACGCAAAGAAAGAATAGTAAATATTTTAGTATTATTATTTAAAATTAAGAATATTTTTTAATAAACATCTAGCTAGCAACTATACAATCTTGCTCCCCCGCGTAGAATTTGAATATTAACAGGCTTTCTCGTCTTATAACTAAACGTTAATTAAACTATGATATAAATATTTACATAATACAGGTTTTAGTAATATCTCTTTTTAACTATAAAAACATCTTTATTTTAAGATAACGGACGATTTGAAAACATTTAAAAAACGATTAAATTTGCATTTTTATCGAGCATATAAAATTCAAGCTCATATAAAATGAGCTTGCATAAAAACGTATTCTCTTAATGGACATGATACGTCAGAAATGAGTAATTGAACCTTATATACTGTCTATACAATGAAAATAAATAGGCTAATAGTTTTGCAATGCTTTAGATGTGCACGAAGGAGATTTAAACGAAGACGACCGAAACGAAGTACGAAAATGTATAGTCGGAGATATAATTAAAATTATTTCTGGTAAAATTCCTCTAGATGGTGTTGTTCGTGGTATAAAATTCTTCATTTTTGGATCTCACGAAATCCCTTTTGCAGAGTATTGTTGTGCTGCTTTTTACACGTATTTGGTTTTAGATAATTCCATGTTTTCTGTAAGTAAAAATTAACCAATAAAATATATTATTATACACCTTTTTTGTTTTATGAAATATAATTTTAAAATATATATCAAGTAATTACAATTATTGAAAACAGCACTTTTTTATTCGTTTAGCAATTCCAAATTACTATAACACTCTGAAGATTGAATATGTTATTTTTTTAGGGACTAATATTATCAACATCAGCAGGTATTAAACTTAATTAAGTTAGTAATTATTTGTCATCCAAAAATTTACTACAATCACAAAATGCATTCCATAATTGCATTGCTAATTTAAACATAAATGGTTTTGAACAAATGAATATGGTAAGACATTGAAATAACATTGACATCCTTATATAATTAAAATAATTCATTAAACGCTAATCATTACATTTGTAAAAGAAGTATAACTTTTTTTTAATTTATTCTAATATCAATTGAGCCATTATATTTTTACAAGAAAATAAATTGTATATAATCCTAAAAGTCATATTAAAGCCTTAAGAAAAACCTAATACGAATGTCAAACATCTTTGCAACATTATAATCTATTTAGTTTTGTAAAGCATGTGAATTATTCTATTAAATATAGTAAAAAATGTAAGCCGCTATGTTAATAGTATTATAACATTATTAAGTTATAAATAAATCAACCATAATTATAATATAAATGTGTTAATTTTACTTGAATAAATTATATATACTGATATGGCATTTTTTAGCTTTGATGCGAAGCTGAGAAGGTATTGGTTTTACTATGATGTCTTAGTCTTTCATTGGGTATATTTTTCTTATAAATATGACCCTTTACCTGCCCACAGGGGAGGATTTAAAATGACAATTTTTCCCAAAAAATTAACTTTTTCAAATACATATTTGAAAGTGTTTCGGAAAGTCTGACACTTTTATATATATCTTAAATTAAAGCTAATATAATATACTATATTATGAAAAAAAAAAAATTTCGGACTTTATTTTGTCTTTATGGTGTAAATGGCTATCGAATGCTATTTTTGTGTGAAAAACTCGATTTTATTTTTTACATTTTACATCAATAGAATCTTTTTATGAGAAATAATATTTATATCATTCTTTTATTCGACATACTTTAAATAGATTATAGTCGACAAACTGTCAATTAAACTAACAAAAGTTGTATGGAATATGCCAATCGTCAAAGTAACCGAAAAGGAACAATTAAAATTAATTAGAGTTTTGGACAGTAAAAAGCCTATACGTTGCGCTCATAGAAATTGGGAACTGTGTGAATATCCGTTTGTACCACAAAACAAATCGTTTTCGTAGACCGTTAAAACATGTAATAACTTTCAAAAGCCCCGTTATGTTTTAGTAGGATTTCAAACAGACCGTAAAAATAGTGAAAGTAAATCAATGTCTGAATTCGATCACTGTTATTTAACAAATCTTAAAGTCCATTTAAATTCAGAAGTTTACCCGTACAACGATTTAAGTCGTAACTTTGACTGTAAACTATTTAGTATTTTATTTTCCTACTATGTTAATTTTCAAAAGAGTTATTATGATAGTCTTTGGTGTTCGCCTTTAGTAAATACAAAACAATTTCTTAATTTAATACCTATTGCCGTAATCGACATGTCAAAGCAGAACGATACAATTACAGTCTCGTCTTTTGACCTACGAATTGAAATTGTAGCATCAGCCGCGTTCCCTGGTAATACAACTGCATATGCTCTAGTAATTTCAGACAATGTATTTACATATACACCTTTTGACAGAACAATCCGTATAATTTAAATTAAATTTTTTACACGTTTATGTAAACATTTATTTTTAACCTTGTAATTATTATTATGAAATAAATATATTATATACAAATAACAACAATTTGTTTTTTATTTTAGATTATAAGTTTATTATTTGAAACTAGTACAATATATAAAGTTATTGTTTATAAATTATTAATATAAGTTAATTTTCTGACGTGATTGGGTTTCGGCCATTGTGAAGCCCATGGACTATAACTATTTTCTCGGGTAAACACTGTTGTATCGAAAAATGCCGGACCGTCATTTTCGTCATACATTACTTCTTTTTCCTAAAACAAATTATAAATTTAATAACAATAAAGATAATGAGAATCTATGTTCATTATACTCACATTAATTTGAAGCGTACCCTCGGACCATGACTTGACCCAACGATCAACTATTACAATGTAGGCTAAATTCTTCAGCTCGCTTTTGCAATTACTGTCACCTTTAGGAATAGTATCGCATATTTCTTTATCGTTCAAACTTCTTATAAAATTAATCATTTCATCATTGTTTGATTGTTGAATTTTAGGGCCCGACCATTTACCGACAGCGTATTGTATGATGCGGTGTATTTGATGGCTTAATAGTAAACGTGTTTTTATTTTTCTTGATATTGTACTGTTAATAGTACACTGTATGTCCATAAGTCTATTAATGTTTTCGTTATTCAATAACACTCGACACCCATCGACCATCCTGGATTCTAATACTATATGCATGGTATCACGGTACAATACTTTGGTTATATTAAAATCGACATTTTGGTATAACACAATGTTCTCTCCTTTTACCGGAGATGATTGTAGAAATAATGTTTTTCATCCATCATGCCATAAATAATATTTAAAAAGTCTGCTAACATACTAATATATCGTGACGGAGTAATAATGCATACCGTATCATTGAAGTCATCTTTTGGATTCAGGCCTTCTTGCAAAAATTTTCTGTCGCTGAACGCAATAGTGTAACTGCTAGAGTTAATCATCTCGGCTGGCGGTGTTGGTGCGATATAAATGTAGCGTTGTTTTCTTACAGGTTCCGCAGCCATATTGTTCACAGAGTAGAGTCTTCTTCTTAGAGCTGATGGTTCTTGATGACACTGTGACTTTATCAACGATTTCACGCTGATTTATGCGGAAAAATCACATATTTTCATAGGGGGGACAGCAAAACACAGATCACATATCCCCGTAGACTAACCCATTCTTTTACCACTTAAATATATTAACTTATAATTACTTATTAAATTGTAATTAATAAGTAATTTCTAAAAATGATTAATTTTTTCATACCCATCCTTCTTATGTACCCCACATGTAGATTACATGTAATATCTACTGTCATAAGAGAGCTCCCTCTATTATATTCTTAACCTTTTATGGGAAGGGGGCCCTATGCCGTTCATCATATCCTATCAGCCGTTTACACCTCCCGCCTACATTAGACAGGGTAAACCCACAGCGTGCGGGTCTTTTGTCTTATATTTTCAAAGTGTACGTGTTGACGCATCGTTTTGTTTGAAGTGTTCGGTAAAATCATAATTTTTTTGTCTGTAGTTCAGAATTTTACGACTGTCGGCAACTGAAATATTGTCATTAATATGCACAATTGTTTTAATATTAAAATTAACACTAGAATTTTTTACGTATTCTAATGGATACCAATGACAGTGGGAAAATAAAACAAACACGTTATCTCGATCGAATTCTGTGAATGCGATGACATTTACGTCCGAACGATTGTTATCTTGGGAAAGTACAATTAAATTTTTATTGTAATATGATGCGACGGCTGCTAGATCTTCTGCCTCAAGCCAGACAGGCTGACTTGCAGAATCTACGCCTAGTAATATTTGAATATCATGAAAATTGACATTAATATTTTTATTTTTCAACACCTCTACTAATGTATTTACGCCGCAAAAGTCGTCTCGTGGGATATTTTTCGAAACCTGCATACGCGCCGCTGTGGTCTCAATAAAAACATTGGTTGAATCTTCGTGTGAAACAATACGATTTGCGACATTGCTAGAATTGAATTTTTCGAAGAGTACGGTCACTCTGTCAGGTCCGTCAAATAAAATAATTTTCGAATCGTACATATCAATATTAGCCTTATATTNCAATCGTACATATCAATATTAGCCTTATATTTGTGTAGAAAACTATTAATTAAAAGATAATACCCATTTAAGTTTTTAACAACCGCGCATTCAATAATAAAACTGTGCTCACAGAAATTTAACTCAATTA